CAGTCAACAAAGGCAAGGGGGGACGCGACAACTACGAACGGATGCAAGTTTTATGAAAACGATGGTAGCAGACAACCGATGTAATGCAAATGATGGCATGATGAATGCAACAAACAAATGAAACACACGGCAACAACGGAAAACATGGAAGGCTTCTGGAGCGTCGGTCTTGGGTCGTCACAGGGCACTAGCGATCGAGGGATTCCATTCGTCAACAACGGGGCACCATCAAGGGCGAATGGCAAAAGTGCGCAGGTTGCTCGACCAATTTTGATCGCATGAACCCTAGTGGTTGCGGTGATAGTGACATGGTAATTGCTTTGCTACTTTTGTGTATTTTTCTACATTTGCCCAAGTATGCATATGTTCCTAAAATGATGATGCTATTTTTGTTGTCTTGTTGTAGAAAATGATTGCCTAAGGTTTGTTCCGAGAAAGAAACAAGAACGGGGAGAAGAAGAAAAAGAATGGAAACCCCTTCATTTTCCATCATTGCTACAAAAGAGCTCAAGGATGAGAAGTGGAAGAATCGAGAAATTTATCTCCGAGGAAGAAAAGTTTGATTGTTGATCATGAAGATGAAGATGATGATGGTGGGGGCGAGGAGAGAAAAATGAGCCTCACTCCTCACTCAATGACCAAAACATATAGGCCGGACGAAAGTGAAAAAAGCAAAGGGTTCGAAGGCCAGAGATAATGATCATAAAGAAGGATTTGACGTCATTGTCATTCAAGGAAAGGGTATGCTGAAGAAAAAATGTTCAAATTGAAAGAAATGGAGGAGGGTGCTGGGAGCCAAGCGACGAAGGTTGGCGGCCGAGGAGAGAAAGGTGGAACCAGAGGAGAGAAAGGTGGCGGCCAATGAGCTCAAGATGATGGAGGAGAAGGCCCTCGAGTTTATGTTTATGGACACAAGTGGCCTCGCCCCCAAAGCAAAAGCATATGTCGAGCTTTGTCGCGACAAAATGATTATGAAGAAGACCATCCTAACGAGAAACATGATGAGAGGAGGAATGGGAGGAACATCATGTGCCATTATTGGTGGAATTGGAGGAGGAATGGATTGAATAGGGGTTGTCATGGGCGGATGGGAGGAGGAATAGGAGGTGCCATGGGTGATGGCTTTGGTGACAACATGTGTGGTGCCTTCAGTGGCACCATTGAAGGTGCCTGAGGGAGTCCTGGATTAGGGGGTCTCCGGACAGCCGGACTATCTCCATTGGCCAGACTGTTAGACTACGAAGATACAAGATTGAAGACTTCGTCTCGTGTCCGGATGGGACTCTACTTGGCATGGAAGGCAAGCTAGGCAATACGAATATGGATATCTCCTCCTTTGTAACCGACCTTGTGTAACCCTAACCCTCTCCGGTGTCTATATAAACCGAAGGGTTTTAGTCCGTAGGACAACAATCATAACATACAATCATACCATAGGCTAGCTTCTAGGGTCTAGCCTCTCTGATCTCGTGGTAGATCTACTCTTGTACTACCCATATCATCAATATTAATCAAGCAGGATGTAGGGTTTTACCTCCATCAAGAGGACCTGAACCTGGGTAAAACTTCGTGTCTCCTGCCTCCTGTTACCATCCGGCCTAGACGCACAGTTTGGGACCCCCTACCCGAGATCCGCCGGTTTTGACACCGACAGTGCCTTTAGTGGCAACATGAATGGTGGCTTCGGTGGCAACATGAGTGACATGGGAGGTGGATTCGATGGCAACATGAGTGGCATGAGAGGTGGCTTTGATGACAACATGACTGGCATGGAGGTGCTTCCGGTAGAGGTGGCGGCATCAATGCATCAACAAATTGAGAACGTCGACAAAAAAGCCATTGAAGATGATGATGCAATGTTTACAGTGTGACTAATGATAACGAAGAGGATGAAAGTTGAGATGCTATGTTTATATGCATTTTTATTTGTTGGATCCGAATTTCGTTTGATATGATGCACTTCTATTTGTTGCATTATGACTATATTTGGTATAAAATTTGAGTTCATGTTGAGTTTAAAAATATTGTTCATTAAAGAGGCGGAAGACGAAAAAAATTTAAGGTGTAGTGAATTCTTAAGTCATTGTTTTTGATGCACACGCTTGCTCAACGGCGACACCTAGCCCACGGCCATTGTTGGCCATCTGCCAGTCCCGTCATCCGTCTCATCCTAGCCAGCAGCCGCCATGCTTTCTAGGATTGCTGCTGCATAAAAGTGTAGTTTTTGTTTTGAGAACCGCCCTCTCGACAATTTATTTAAGTGTTAAGGGGATTTGCATCCGACTGTACAAATGTCAATCAGACAAGTAGGGATTACATCAAGAGACAAAGAGCTAGCACCAATATTAAGCGCGTCCTAAGCGCATGCATGAGCAGCTCCATTCGCTCCTCTCTTGACCCATTGAAGCTTGAATCCCTGAAAAAATTGGATATAGATTTTCATCTCCCTAAAAACCTTGCTTCGTGGGTGTGTACTTGGTTAGCGGCTTCGTGCATCAAAGCTCAGGCTGGTTCGTGCATCGTGTGTACTGGCTTGGTTTGTTCGTGGGCTGCATCTGTGTGGCCCAGTTATCAGCGAACCGCCTCTTTCTCTCGTAGTGACATTTCCCAGCATTGCATGGCTTCTAGGATATCCACCGATAGCAGTAGATACATACATATAAAATTTTCATTTCACCCAATCAAGGTATGGCGGCCGCCATGCCTTGCCCACTGGGATGCTCCGTCAGTGGTTCATTTTACATATCTATGGGATAATTTTGATTGAAGGAGTGCGGCTATACAACGGTTGAAGTGCGGCTGAAATGCTTATGTACATCGGCTATAGCGAGGCCATTGGCCGTTTTACATTATTTGTTGGAGCACTACCTTTACATTATCAATTATACGTGAATTGAATGTTTTTTTAATGTAAAAAGCATATTTGGATGATGTAAATTATTTATCTATCACTTTTTGACGATGTACTTTACATATTGGAGATGCTGCTTATAGAAGCTTCGGATAAGTTCATTTTTTCTGGTAATTTTCGAGCTGCTTATCTTATGCATCATAAGAACAACAAGAGAGGATTAGCTTCGATTTTTACCATGAATGATGATGGCTTCCTTCCTTCGTATTAGCAGCAGCAGCCGCAGTCAACAGAGCAGCACAGGCGGCTAGAGTTTAATCCCCACACGGCATCAGATGGCCGGCGCGGGCTCGTCGGACGCGGAGGCGGAGCTGCGGCGGGGCTTCAAGGCCTTGGCCGTGACGCGGCCCGACCCGGCGGCTGCGGTGTACGAGGTGCGCCTCAGCCGCCCGGCGCAGCTCAACGCGCTCAGCCCGGACTCCTTCGCGGAGATCCCGCGCGCCATGGCGCTGCTCGACCGCATCCCCGCCGCGCGCGCCGTCGTGCTGTCCGCCGCGGGCCCCCACTTCTGCGCGGGCATCGAGCTCGGCGGGCCCGGGAACCCGCTCACCGCGCCCCCCGCCCGCGGCGCCGACCCCGCGGCCATGGCGGAGGAGCTCCGCCGCGCGATCCTGGGCATGCAGGCCGCGCTCACCGCCGTCGAGCTGTGCCGGAAGCCCGTCATCGCGGCCGTGCACGGCGCCTGCGTCGGCGGTGGCGTCGAACTGGTGGCCGCCTGCGACATACGCTGCTGCTCCAAGGACGCCACCTTCGTGCTCAAGGAGGTGGACATGGCCATCGTCGCCGACCTCGGCGCGCTGCAGCGCCTGCCGCGGATCGTCGGCTACGGGAACGCGGCGGACCTCGCGCTCACCGGCCGCAGGATCACCGCCGCGGAGGCCAAGGAGATGGGGCTCGTCACCAGGGTGTTCGATTCCAAGCAGGAGCTGGATGCCGGTGTTGCGAAGATTGCCAAAGGTATGATTTCTCTCTGTTGTTCTTTCTTTTCAGTGCTGTTGCCTCTGTTCTGTATTCTGCTAAAATGTTTAACATGAATTGTGCAATTCAAAGTTCAAACTAATAAGGGATGTTGCCTGGAGTTTCACAACCCACAAAAGAGTCATTGTTTGCAGAACTTAAGATTCCATTACATCATTATGTAGTTCTTGTTGGTAAGAAAAAGAACAAGGGTGTCTCTCTTGGGTATCTGTGTATATGCTGTCAATAAATCTTGTTTGTACTCTGATTGCAGTTGATCTAACTAGAATCCGTAGATCCATTTGGCTGGATAATCTTTGATTTTATGTCAGTCAGAACCCGTTGGTTCTGAAAAAAGAGAGGTTAAACTTCATGTTAGTAACTTCACAGCACGCATGAATTGCGTCTTTAAATACAGTTGGTGACCTGCTGGTATTTGAATATAGTATCTAGTTCAGCTTAAACGTTTCACAGGCTTTCTAGAATTCCAACTCTCCCAACTTTCATAAAGATTCATCTATATTCTCATTTCCTGGTTTTTGCGCATTTGCTATAGTGTGCTTAGTGTCCTATCCTGTAAAAAAAAGGGCAACCTGGTGCATGTAGCTCCCGCTTGCGCAGGGTCCAGGGAAGGGTCCGACCACTTTGGGTCTATATAGTGTCCTATCCTGTAAGTGCTGGCTTAAATGTTTCTCTTACTACATTAAGTAGCAAAATCCACCACTCTCTTGATTGGCTGCAGAGGCGCTGCGCTCCATTTCCCAACATGAAAAGTGAACTGGAAAGTTTGGGTCATATAGTTAGTGCTGGTAGTTTGAAGTCAAATGCACTTGAATCAATCCAGCAAAGCATTGTATAATGGTTTAAAGGGTTTGCAATTTACTAGTGTCACCCCTCTATCAAGTCAGAAGCAAGTTGGATTTGTTCATCCAAGTTGTAAGTAAATGCACATATGTAGGTCTGACTGTTCCATGTTCATAGGGTGTTACCATAATTCAGATTCATGCATAAGATGTCCCTGCGTAAACCAGTTTCTTGTTAACTATGCCTACCACTTTTTCTCCAGCAACTATGTAACTCAACAAGTTGCGATCAATGATAACTAAGAGACTTTGTTTTTTAACTGTTTCAGAAATATCAGAGAAGTCGGCAAACGCAGTGATGGGAACAAAGGCAGTTCTACTCAGAAGCAGAGATATCACTGTAGAGCAGGGCCTGGAGCATGTAGCGACTTGGAACTCTGGAATGCTGAGATCTGATGACCTGATGGAGGCCATCAAAGCTTTCATGGAGAAGCGGAAGCCTGTTTTCTCTAAGCTCTGATGATCAATATCACAGGCAGAATTTATATGTGAATCCTAGCCACTTGAGAATAAAATGAGATGGTAGAAATTAGACAAGATATACTATCTCTGAATTGGAAAACAAGTGCTTTTGTTGATTGTATCTTGTATGTATATCATATATAAAGTGAGAATTTTCCAGAAATTCCTTAGCACTACTGATGTCCATATTGATTAGTGTTATGTTTTTTTTTGTGAAATGATTAGTGTTATGTTTTTTTGTGAAATGATTAGTGTTATGTTGTGATGCCTGTAGAATGTTGATTAACCACTCCCACTTACAAGTGTGATACATTTTTGCAGAGAAGTTCACTCAAGCTTATATCTGGATTGGGTCAACAAGACCTTGGTCCAGTGAGCCTGTGATGGCCCCATAGCTTGTCTAGGCATAAGTTGAATTTCTGTGCTGAAGAGGTGAGTCTGGTACTCTGATATTCACACTACCACAACCCCTTTTGGTTACTATGTTAATTGGTGATTTATTTATACTCCTAGCTCTTATGTGCTTTAAGTTTCACATAATATATTCATTGAAGCAGATATTTGTGGGTTAGTAAAAGAATCTTTAGAAATACTCCCTCTGTCCCATAATGTAAGTTGTTTTTTGACCCTAGTGTAGTGTCAAAAAACGTCTTATATTATTGGGACGGAGGGAGTAGTATTCAAAGATAACCCTTCAATAAGTGAGGTAAATGGTACACTCTTTCTGATTTAGGTTAATATCATGAGTCCATGATCGTTCAGGCCATTGCCTTAATTGTTGGGTTCTTAAATACTCCCTCCGTTCCGAATTACTTGTTGCAAGTATGGATGTATCTAGATGTATTTTAGTTCTAGATACATCCATTTCTGCGACGAGTAATTTGGAACGGAGGGAGTAGTATGGTTAGCACTTCCTAAGATAGAGCTCACCAAAATGTCCCTTGTAAACTTGGTGGTAGCCTTGTGGTTGACTTTACCAAGCTTCATTTAAAGTCCTCATCCATAGACCATAGTGTGCTAGGTAGTATACCCTGCCGGGTAGCACATGGTTTTTATTGTTATACTGCCTTGTATATATGTAAATATACCGTATATATCTAGAGGGAGATACCATGTGGGTGTACAGCTACCATAGTTCAACTGGCAGCTCAAGTGGGTACAGATGCAGTGCTGTCTTAACCTGTGTTTTGATTTTCGGCCGAAAAAAATGGATTTCGGCCGAATTTCGGCCATCTCGGCCTGGGGCGAAAAGTATATTTAGACCGAAATTGCTCAAATTTGACAAAATTTGGTCAAATTTAAGTTAAATTGCAGTCAAATTTTGATCAAATTTCAGCCGAAATTTTTGAATATGACCGAAATTCGGCCATCTCGGTCTAGGGCGAAAAAAAGCTGAAACCGAAAATCAAAACACAGGTCTTAACGACCAATCTGAATTTTCTAGATCCCAAGTGCCTTCCCTGTCAGTCAGCTGAAACATATACTGTATGATATATGCCTTCATCGTAATTGTCCATTCTAATCCTCTTCTTCCGTCTATGTATAGAAGAGCAGAGCAGAGCATGCGTCCATCCAGCGTGCTTCAACCAACCATACTTCCTCTCTTAGCCAACTCATTCATCCATGCCTCCACTCTACATATTGTTCGGGTTTCTCCTCTTGCACGCCCCTTCATGCTCCTCTGCAGCAAGTGATACTCTTACAGGAGGCCAAGTGCTCGCCATCGGCACCAACCTCATCTCAAGAAACGGCAAGCTCGCGCTCGGCTTCTTCCAGCCAGCAAGCACCATCAGTAAGTCCCACAACGCCAGCTCGTACCTTGGCATATGGTTCGACAAAAATCCCAGTTTTTACTGCTGCGTGGCCCATCACAGACCCCCTAACACAACTCAAGATCTCATGTGATGGCAAACTTGTCATCGTAAACCATGCTGGCACTCCGTCCGTAGCTTTGGTCCACCCACATTGTCAATAGGACACAAACCAACATACATAGGACTAGTGTTGTTCTCTTGAACAGTGGATACCTTGGCCTCACAGGGAGATCGTCATCTGACATATTGTTGTGGCAGAGCTTTGACTACACAACAAATGCATGGCTTCCTGGCGCCAAGTTTGGTCGGAACAAGGTCACTCGTTTGAATAGCCTGGCCATCTGAAACAAGAGCCTCATTGATCCGGGTCTTGGCTCATAAAACATTGAAATAGACATCAGTGGTGTCAGGGATCCATGGCGCGGGCTGAACTCGGTCCCAGGGTGGCCCTCGAGTTAGGTGCTTGGGGCCTATGCACAAGCGCAACATGGGCACGACAAACCCCCGGGGACTCCACCCCAGGCACGCCCACAGGCTTGCGCGCCTTCTGGCCGTTTTCCGGGTTGGCAGGGATGTCCTTGGGGCCTCGTGGACCATGGTAGACAAAGGGGAGGCCTGACGTCTCTTCGGTAGCCTACATTCGTGGCAATGACGAAGAGGCACGCGTGGGCGCATGTCTCCCGAACTTTGAGGGTTGCCATTTGTAAAGACGCGACGGGACGACGCCCTCTTTGACTTCGGCCGTGCTCCCGTGTGGCACCCCTCTCCTGTCAACAAGGGCAGGTGGACATACAACAACGGCCCTGTTTGGATACTCTAACTCAGTTGGAGGTTAGAGTTAGATTCTAACCCTGAACTAACTCCAGCCTAAGAGGTGTTTGGATGGCAGAGTTAGATGGAGCGTGGATACGGCGAGGCACCATCACGGACGGTGTGAGAGAGAGGGAGGGAGAGGACGAGAAGCTTCGAGCAAGTGGGGAGAGATCTGCTGCGGCGAGAGCCAGAGAAAAAAGTGTTTTTTTAGTGGTCCCGAGAAGAACTAACCCAAATAAGCACCTCTTGGGTGGGTTAGATTTTTTGAATGAGTTAGATGCATCTAACCCAAACTAACCCTCCTGTTTGGATATTTTCGGGTTAGTTGAGTCCAATCTAACCCAAACTAACTCTAACCTATGGATCCAAACAGGGCCAACACATCACTACAGGGTTTTGCCATCGACACTCAGGTAGGTAGGGTTGGATTGGGTGTAACGGCTCGTGTGGTCTCCCTTGGTAGCATATAAATGGGGAACCGGAGCCCAAGAATGAGGGAGAAATCTTGTAGAACACACACACATATCTCAGCAAGAGCACGCACGCAGACGCAGAACTACCCGGGGCGGCGCCAGCATGGGTAGTGGACACTATGGGAGGCAAGCTCTCCTGTAGTTTCAGTCGTCGAGCAGGAAGGAAGAAGAGAATAGAAAATAATGATTTGCTCTAACTTGGCACATGGGCTAGTAAGTAAGGCCCAATTGAACAATCTATCACGCGGGCCTATTATTTTCTGCAGCTTGACGTTCCCAATTCCTATAATCCCTATCGATTCAAACGTGCAGCCACAACGCGTCTGCGCGCACGCCGCCGCCCTCCACTGCCGGCTTCCCGCCTTGGTGCGGTGCCTTCCCCTGCCGCCTTCCCCCTGCGTTGCCCAGGTCCATCTCCAATTGATGGTGCTGGATGGAGAAGGAGAAGGGAGTCGACCCGCTCCTGCTGTTCCAGGGAGATGTATTTGCTGGGATTGTAGACTAGAAGATCATAGAACACTTCCATCGCCTAAGAGATCATAGAACATTTCCATCGCCTAAGGAATCGTATAGGGCATTTACCAAATCCTCCACGTATAACTACAAATTGGCGGTAAATACTTGTCGTAGTTTTTGTTTGAACCAATGTCGTATTGTGCTAAGTTTTATATTGTTGTATGCTTTTTTACATGTTGAGGTACCTAATTGACTTGAAGATTAGACATTTATTTGGAGTGAAGAATGAAGGATTCAACAAGCAGAAGTCCACAATATAAGACGTTTTTGCAAGTTAAAACAACTTGCAAAAACGTCTTACATTGCAGGACGGAGTAGTAGAATCTATATGAATAATTTTCTGTTGCATTATATATTTTCACCTAGTTCTTGAGAATGAAACTATTTTGAACCATTAATTTTGTTAATTTCTTCCTTAAATGCATACTATTTGACCAATATTTTCTGTTGATTGTCTTACTTGATTGCACTGCGGGTTTAATTTTTTTTCTTTAAAAGTTAGCCCTGGGTAACCTCAAATCCTGGGTTCGCCACTGGTAGGGTGTTACACCTTCTCCATGATCTGAACCTGGATAAACCAAGCCTTGGTATCTGAAGTGTTTGACCTCTGACCGAATCTCTAAAAGGGGATTTCTTCAATCTTCGGTATCGACGATCACCTGTCCATCTGGCGTGCCAGATAGGGAGGTCAAGGCTTCATATCTCCTTTAGACTGTCTATGCCGGCCCGGCCGTGTCGGGTCATGATGCGTTGCAGCATTAGAGCATCTCCAGCCCCGTCCCCAACAGGCCTTCCCCAGGTGTTTTCGCCGTGCCGGCGCTGAAAAAACGGCCCAGTCGCCTCCCAGAAGCCCGTTTTTCGCCGGCTCGGGCCGAAACTGGTGCCGGCGGACCCAGGCAGAACCCGGCGCCCGCGCCCAGGGCGCCTGGGGCGTCGGCACAAGCGAAAAGGGTGTGTGGGTCCGCCCTGTCGGCGAGTCCAGCGCCTATTCCCGCCGTTTCTCCCCGCTTCCCCCCCACTCCCCTCCCATTTTCTTCCTTCCTCCCGCCAATCTCCCTCCCGCTCGCCTCCCAGCCGGCCGCCATGCCATCGAAGAAGTACGTCGCCCCCTGCGCGGCGGCAACCGCGACCGCCTCCGTCGCCCAGCCAAAGCAGAGGAAGCCAAGGGCGCCGCCGTCCAAGCCACCGGGCATGAAAAACGTTGAGTGGAGGGCGGAAGTTCAGCGATGGGAGGCTGTCACCACCGACCGGCGCAACAGGCCATCGCCAAGAAGGCCCGCGACAACGCGATGCGCGCGGCTGCGGCTGCCGCTTCGGCGGACCAAGCCGAGGCCGAGGCGACTCGTGCGGGGATGATGAATCCACCCGGTAGCCACGCCCAGTACGCTCCTTGGGACCAGCAAAGCGTCGGCTCTCCGTCGCCGCAGCCATGGGGATCGCCCTCGCCGAGCTACGCCGACGGGGACGCGCACAGTGGGTTCAACCCAAACATCATCTTCCCCGTGGACACCCGGCCCAGCGCACGCCTTCGCCAGCGTGCAGTACCCTCCATACAACTACTCGCCACCCGCCTACGCGTCCTCCCCGACGCCCCATCTACGCCGTTGCGCGCTGCCCTTCTCGCACCTCGGCGACACCGACGAGACCGAGGGCGACATGGACGACATCATTGCGGTAGGTTCGGCCGCGGCCGCCGCGTCTCCCGGGTTTGTCACCCAGGACGAGTCGGTGGATCTCAGCGGCGGCATGGACGGCGAGCTCGGCTACGTCTACGGCGAGGACGGGCAGGAGGAGCAGGAGTAGGAGGAGGAGGACGACGAGGAGGAGGAGGAGGAGGAGGAGGAGCCGGCGCCTGTTCCGGTGAAGGGCGCAAGAAGAAGAAGCGGGCGGCCAGGTCAGGCGAGCCGCACATCAAGTGGGCGTCCAAGGAGGAGGAATGCCTCGCCGAAGCATGGAAAGTCGTCTGCCTCAACCCGACCACCGGCACGAACCAGTGCATCGAGACGTACTGGGACCGCATCAAGGCCGAGTTCGACGAGCGCAATCTCGTCGACCCCTATTTCAAAGGCGTCTACATGCAGCGCGGCTCGAAGGCGATGGCGAACCATTGGGGGCGTATCCAGGGGGCGTGCAACAAATGGCATGGGGTCGTCGAGGAGGTCCTGGCTCGCCCGGAGAGCGGCGCCGGCGTTGAGGATCAGGTATGCCACGCCGGTCTCCCGCCTCTCTTCGCCGTGTACGCCTGCCAACTGTTTGTTCCTCCGCGTAGTTGCTGCGCATGTTCGCCCTGTACCGGCAGAGCAATAGCGACGCCGAATTCAAGTACCTCCACGTTTACAAGCGCATTGACAAGTGTGAGAAGTGAGCGGAAGTCCGGCGCACCCTCGACAAGGCCAAGGAGACCTACAAGCCGGACGCGCCGACTCCTGGCGCATGGGAAGGGCGGCCGGACGGCAACAAAGATGCCAAGAAGGGGAAACACGCCGAGGCGGCTACCGCTCGAGTGCGCGAGTCCATCGAGCACTGCCTCGCCGACGTGCAGGCCCGGGCCGTCCTTCGTGAAGAGAAGACCGACGCGCGGTGGTCGGCGCTGATGTCGAGCAGCGCCGTCAAGCTCGACCTGCTCCGGACCAACGTCGCCGCGAAGAAGAGAAACACCGACCTGGCTTTCCTGCTGGGCAGGGCGGACATGCTCCAGAGCACCGATGAGGTGGTCAAGGCGTGATACTTGGCGGAGCGCCGCCTCATCCTAAACCAGCTTCCCTCGATACCGCTGTCGACGCCGCCAAGCCCGCGTGATGACGCCTCCACGACACCCAGCAGCACTGATGCCGCGCCGACACCGCCCAACGCAGAAGCAGCTCCGACACGGCCAAGCCCGCGCACACCAACTCCGCCGACGCCTGGGGCAGAGCCCGCCGAGTGATGCGAACGCGAACTTCTGCTGTTCTATTTTTTGTACGGCTGTCCGATCGCCAAACTGTGAGTTGCGATCGCCAGACTTGTGTAACGTCTTTTGTGAGCGAGAACGACTAAGTTCGAATTTTTCGCGTTCTGGGGCGGCGCCTGGGGGCGTGACTGGGAGTTAGGTCGCCCCAGAGGCCGAACTAGCACCGGTTTACCCACAGACCGCTCTTTTTTAACGCCCTAGGGGCCGAACGACTGGAGATGCTCTTAGCAGCCGCGGCCTCCGGCCTGCTCAACCCACCC